AGTCTCTACGTTGACAAATGTTGGGGGCTACTCGTCCTGCTCCTGGCTGGAATGTGATTGGTATTGCACTTTCCCTCTTCGCTTCATTAATGTTCTCCCTTCCTTCTGACGACAACTTGCCCAGGAATCGTTTCCATAGGGGTTGGTGAAGGCCCGACAAGCGGCAAGAAGTGTCGCGCACCATGGAATACGAACCGAGTCACTGTAGCGCTCCGCCTGGGCACTCGAAATGTGCAGGCGCGCCGCCAGGTCCGCGAGCGGTCGCTGACCACCCAGAGTCGCAGCAAGTTTGCCACAGCTGCCGTGCCTGGCAGCAACCTCCAGGAGGCGATGTCTGGTTCGGGTCTGCGTAGACAAGCACTCCGCTGACCTCCCAGGGGCGCATTAAAGTAGCGACAGTAGCTTGGGTCTCCCTAGCACCGCACTCTGTTGGACCCCCCAGCGGCGAGGCAAAGTGGCGACAGTTGCGCGCCCGGCAGCATCTGAGGGATCGAAAGATAAAAAACGAAAGGGAGCGAGAACAACAAGCAACGACGGAAGCGACAGACGCGGAAGAGGGGGGAAGCGAGCAACAAGTGCTCTACTCGAACACAAAAAACCGACGCAGGAGGGTTCGAAAAAAAAGCCCAAAACATATATAGAAAACCCCTGAGATCTCGACAAGCTACCAACAAACACGCACGTGCATCTATCTCGCACTCCCCGCCTCCACCTACCCCTCCCCTCCAAACCCTTACAACCTCCAGAAAAGCTGAAAACCCCTGCGTACACCACTATTCATCCTTCTCCTCCTCCTCCTCCTCCTGCTCCCCCTCTTCCTGCTCCCCTTTCCCTCCTCCTGATCCTCTTTTTGCTCGGCGGCGAGTTGCGCAGCATCCTCGCGATCAAAGCGTACGGAAGCCACAGAGAAAGGAAGAAAAGAGCAAGGCGGCGCGACCTTCTGCAAAAGATCATCCTCATCGTCCTCCTCCTTCCCACCCTCCTGCCTCCGCGCCCCTCCTCATCTCGGTGATCCTCTGAACGTACGTCAGCGCCAACGTGCGCTTCCCCACCGTCCACCAGAGCACTGAAATGAGAACGTGCACAGGCTTCGTGCTGCCATCTGTGGATCTGACGTGGATACACACCTCGTCCAACACAAGGTGGTGCACGGTAGCGGGGCCCCCGCCCTGCTCTCGCCGGCGCCGGCGCGACGGCCTGCGCCCGCTCTGCTGGCACGCGGCCCGAGCCGCTGGACGTCGCAACCATCGTGAAATCCAGCGCGGCCGCCTGGAGTCCGTCTGGGGCCCCGCGTGAACCCGTCGCGCAAGCAACACGGCACAGTGGCCGCCGCCGGCCCCCCCCAGAAGTGGGCACACACACACACACACACACACACACACACGGAGCTGGGCCAAACACACGTCAAAAGGATCAGCGGTCCTCCTCCCGCAAGACAGCTGCTCTGCGAGGGGGAGGCGGGTGCGAGCGTCCTCCGCCTCGCGTCCGCCCGCTTCTGCCCCGCGGAGTCTGGGCGCCGGGGCGGGGGCGAAGGGCGTGGGCGGCCCGAGGAGGGGGAGGCGAGGCGGAGTGGAGGCGCCGAGGAGGAACGGAGGCCGGGAGGGAGGAAGGGCGAGGCGGCGAGGAGATGGGGCGGGGAGAGGAGGCGACGAGGCGGAGCAGAGGCCAAGGGGACAGAGGACAAACAGGAGGCGAGGAGTAGGAGCAGAAGAGGAGGAGGGCCGGGGAATGGACGGGGGGGGGTGCGGAGAGGGAAGGGTGAAGGGGGCAGCGTAAGGGAGAAGAAGCGAGAGAATGTGGATTGGGGGCGACGGGAACGGGGAGGAAGCGAACAGGAGGAGCATGCGGGTACGGGGGGAATTGGGGGGACCTGAGGACGGGAGGGGAGGATGAGGGGAAGAGAGAGCAGGGGGCAGGATGACCGTCATCTCGTATTCTACTGTTAACGCGGGGATGCTGCGCGACTCGCTGCCGAGCAGCGGGAGGAGGGGGAGGAGGAGGATGAGGAGGAGGAGGAGGAGGAGGACAAGGACAAGGACAAGGACAAGGACAAGGACAAGGACAAGGACGAATAATAAATAAGAGGAAGAAGCACAAGAACAACAGCACGAAAAGAAGGGGATAGCAAGCAGCAGCAGAACGGAAGGGGCGTGGGGAGAAAGGCGGGGGGGCGACGGGAGGAGGAGAGGAGATGAGGGGACGGGAACGGAATGGGGTGACCCCTTCGCGATGCGAATCCACACGAGGGGGAGGAAGTCCGTCCATCCTCCGCTCGCCCAGCCCACCCCTCCCGACTGCGACCACAAAATGAACTCCACCCTCCCCACCCACTCTATCCGAGTGGTCGGGAGCCGTAACAGGGGCGGATAGCCAAGAGGGTGGGCACTACGTATACCCGCAGGCTCTGGCCGACCCTGTGTTCAGAGAAGTCTCTGGTCGACTACGTGCAACGCCCGCCCCTTCGGGCCGTCCGCCCGTGCCGTCGCCTCCGAAACTGGGGCACCCCCTCTGGCAGACCGCCCCGGCACAGGGCGAGGGGGTGGGGGGGAGCAGGAGGACAAAAGGAGGAGGAGAGAGGAGGAGACGGGAGGAAGAGGGAGAAGGAGCAGGAGGCTCAGGTTTAGGCTTAGCGAGTGTCTGCCCGAGAAGCAACGCCACGCTTCAACACGCTACTGTGAGAGTAGCCTCAAAGCGAGAAAACTTCAGTGTGCGCTACCCTGAGAGCGAAAGAACTCCTGGAAATCTGCCCACCAAAACGCTCTGCTGCGAGCTATGGTCTGCGAGTCCCCGTGATGGAAAAATGTCCACGCGGTATTCCCACCTCCAGACAAACATCTTGCGTCCGTGCATCTGGTTGCCCCTAGATTCCACAACTCTCGCCCAGATCCGTTGAGAACTCCCCAGACAATGATTACTTGTACTTAGAAGGTGTTACTGATTCCCCATATCCTAAGATGGGGTTATTGTTATTCCCCATATCCTAAGTATGGGGTTCTTGTTATTCCCCATATCCAAAGAGATGGGGTTATTGTTATTGGCGGACCGCGCCGGAGGAACAGAGAGAGAACAGAACACCACCTCACCTCCTCTCACTCAGACCCACTCAGACTCAGTCATCACTCAGACTCCCTCATCACTCAGACTCAGTCAGTCACTCAGACTCACTCATCACTCAGACCCACTCATCACTCAGACTCACTCATCACTCAGACCCACTCGTCACTCGGACTCAGTCATGACTCAGACTCATCACTCATCACTCAGACTCACTCATCACTCAGACTCACTCATCACTCAGACTCACTCATCACTCAGATTCACTCGTACTTGTACTCATACATTCACTACACTCACTCAGGTCCACTCATCGGATGACTCACACACACACACACTGATGTTGAGGATGTCTCAGGCGATTCTGTGGCTTCAGCACTCCTAAGGGGAGCGGCGGGGGGGTATTTCCCTCGGCCCCTTTCGCGGATTTTTGTGGGGATGTCTCAGGCGGTTGTGCCTTTTCCTCCTCCAACATGTTTCGCTTTCTGAGCAGATTTGGAGGAGGAGGAGGAGGAGGAGGCAGGAGGAGGAGGAGGAGGAGGACCAGGAGGAGGAGGAGGAGGAGGTGGAGGAGGAGGAGGAGGAGGAGGAGGAGGAGCAGGACTAAGAGGAGGAGGAGGAGGAGGAGGATGAGGAGGAGGAGGCAGGGGAGGCAGGAGGACGGCAAGTCTTCTCTCTTCCTCTTTCCTTCATCCTCCGACGGATGAGGAGGAGGAGGAGGAGGAGGACAGCATGAACACGGTAGGAGCAGAAGCAGGAAGGGGAGGATGATGATGATGATAATGAGGAGGAGGAGGAGGAAGAGGAGGAGGACGTGGGCAACTCGAGTAGCCGGGGCCAGACGATCGAGGTTCGATGTTCCAAAGCTTTAGGTTTAACTCAAACGCTTCCGCCTCACTCTCCTTCGCTCTCCGCTCTCCTTCACTCTTCTGCATTCATACTCACTCATACTCAGACTCAGTCACACGCAGGCTCACTCGCACTTAGACTCGCTCATATCCATACTTACTCACTCTCAGACTCACGCTCAGAACCACTCATACTCAGACTCGCTCCTGCTCATACTCATCATCCTTCGGTCCGCTCAAACGCAGACCGGCTCACACTCAGACTGCCTCACATCCATACCCAATCACACTCGGCTCACTCGCACTCAGATTCATTAACACACACTTTTTCTCACACTCAGACCCACTCAAGCCCAGACTCACTCATGCTCAGACTCATCATGCTACGATCCGCTCAATCACAGACTGGCTCATGGTGTTCCAAAATACTTTGCGCGATATTGCGAAAACTGAACCAAACCACAGGTTTCCAAAAAAACATCAAATTCGACCATACGGGCTTTTCGCGAGCGCATACAGCAATCATTCGAACGCCCTTGCGCCCGTGCTGGGGGGAGCACAATCCCTAGCAAAAAGTGCCATGCGGGCCACTCGCGCCCGTCGGCCGCGCCTGCAGGTCCAAATCTTTCCCGAACCTGCATCATCGACGCGTGATCGCCGTCATCGTAATCGGCGTGATCAGCATCGGCGCCGTCATTGGCTTTGCCGTTGTCATCGTCATCATCGCCACCAGCATCGCTACCATCATCATCGTGTCTGCCGTGGTCGACGTCGTCATGACACCGCGCCCGCCCCAACCACCGACTCGCACTGAACTGCCCGCGCGTCAGCGCGGCATGCGAAACGCGCTGGGAAGTTCCCAGCGGTCGGCGCCACCGCGGCCGCGCCAGTCGCGCCAGACTAGCTGGCCGCGGTGCGCGCAAGCCTGCGCGCGCTAGCGCGGCCGCAGCGAGACGCCAGGCAGCGCCAAGCAGCCATCGCAATCGCCGCCGAACATGTTTCACAATGTCCTCGAGATACTTCAAAAGGAACTGGTTAGACATCTTTTGGGGTTCGTAGGAGAGGACAACATCCGCGCTCTCAATGATATCTTCAAGCTTAAAGGGAGAAA